ACCGCTCACTTATATGGCGGAGCTGGTTCACTCTCTTCTTCGATTGAACTCTGATACGCCACCGCTACTCATTGCTCACTCATACGCTCACCGCTTAATGATACTCTCTTCTTCGATCGAACTCTGATACACTCACCGCTCACTAATACGCTGACGCTTACTGATACACCAAAGCTGGTTCACTCTCTGGACGGAACTCCGATACGCCTAGAGGTGTAAAGTGGGCTGGGCCGAGCCAGGTCATTACGGCCCATGGACAGCCCACTCAAAAGGCGGGACGTGTCATGCTGGCCTGCGGGCTGTCACGGGCTGTGCTGCCCTCCTCGGTGGAAATTTTGGGGGTCGGCTCGGCACGTCCCACGACCCACTCAAAAGGCGGGCCCGTGCCGTGTCGTGCTGCCGGCCTGGGCTGAGCCGGGCTATAGGTCGTGCCGGGCCGGGCCACAAGGCAGGCCTTGGGCCTGGGTCAAATTGGGTAGCATTGTTTTTTTTTTTTTGAAAATTTTGATTTCTTTTCTAAGTAAAATTGTAAAACTAAAATATTTAACTTTCCTTTTAACTTTGGGAATTGAGAACTATTTAAAAATTAAGAAATGAGAAATCTAAGTTGTCTAACACATAAATGAAAAAAAAAATACTTAACCAAATTGAAATAAGAATGACGGAATAAAAAATTGAAAGAAAAATAGGAATTTTATTTCATTTAAATTTGAATGGTACAAATTACAAATAAAATGATTGGATCATTGGATATTTGGATGAATGAAATATAAAAATAGAATAAATTAATAAAATATAAAAAATACAATATGGTTACAAATTGAAAATACAAAATTACATTGTTAAACAATTAAAAAAATATCAAATAAATTAAATAAAATTAAAAAAAATACAATAATTTGAAATAGTCAAATTCATGAGTTTCATCATTTGCTTCGAGTGAAATATCTGGTGTAGTATCATGCCCTTCTTTGTCTTGTAATCTATCTTCTACATTTATCCAATCCTTGAAGCAAATGCACATCTCTATACTTTCACCGTTCATGCAACTTCTTTTGTCATCTAGCACCTTAGTACCTACACTAAAACAAGACTCCGATGGAACTGTAGACACTGGAGGGGTTAGTAGATCACGTGCCATGGCAGAAAGAACTGTAGAATTTTTCGAATGTTCACTCCACCAGGCTAGAATATAAAAATTATTTCATCCTTCACCTAAATTAGAAAAAATTGCTTGTAAATAAAAATTAAGTTCAATAAATGAACTTGTGTAGAACTAGCAGATTTCTGCCTTCTACTTATTAAATAAAAAAGTTTTTCTCTTCTACTACTGGGCTCAAGGTCAGAAGTATAAGAAGATGATGAACAAATCCTACAACTTCAGATTCATACAAATTGTACATTTCAAATAATAAATTATTAATCTCTTTTTCTTATTTCCTATATCAATATTCATATTTTCACAATATGATTCAAGTAAAATATCTAAACAATCTTTCCTAATCCTAGGGTCTAATATTGTAGCTAAATAATAAAGGGGAGAAATGTTCTCCCAATATTTTTAAAATTTATTTTCCATTATTTCAACAATACATTGAAATTATGGATTATTTCTATATTTTGCAAAACAATCACTAATTTCCATTAATTGATAAGGTAAATTACAACTAGTTGGGTAATAAATTCTAGATAATTCATTAGTTGCATCATAAAAATGTTTTATAAAATCTTTTATGCAGATGGCCATTTCCCAGTCTTCCTCAAATATCATATCATTAGACATTTTTGAATTATAAAAATAAGAAAGAATTTGTTTATGAGATATACAACTTTCTAACATAGCATAAGTAGAATTCCACCTATGCTTTACATCTAATATAAAATGTTTATATTTTAAACCATAATTTTGACATAAATATTTAAATTCTTGTTTTCTTGCCCTTGAACTTTTTATATATATAATACAATTTCTCTTTTTTGAAATATGAGTAGAAATAATATTCAAGGCATCTTGAGTACATAAATTCAAGATGTTTCATGCACATCTAATATGAAATAATTTACCATTTAAGCATTGTCATAATTGAAAATTTAAAATATTTATTGCAAAATCATTATTGTTGGCATTATCAAAATTAATAGAAAATAATTTATTTTCTATTCCATAAGCATGCAAAGTATTTAAAATACTTGCAGCAATAGTTGGGCCACTATGTGGCAATTCAAGCCTAGTAAAACTTAAAATTCTTTTATTCAAAAGTCAATTTTCATCAATGAAATGGCCGTAACACAAATATAACTAATATTAAATTTGGATGTCCAAACATCCGAAGTAATTGCAACTTTAGAATTAAGATTTTCTAACAAAGAAATTAAATTTTGTTTATATGAATAAAAAATTTTTAAAGCATCAGTTCTTATAGTATTCCTAGAAACTTTTTTATATTGTGGGTTTACAGAACTACACAATCATTTTTCTATCATTGGATCTTCAGCTAATATAAATGGTTGTTATGTACAATATACTTAGCAAGTTATTGTCTCATTTTTTCTTGTGTATATTTAAAAGTACCAAAACTACTCCCCCTCCCAATCTGTGTTGGGTTGTTTCTCTCCCTTCATCTTCTTCTTTCTCATGTGTGAGCAAATGTTTGTTCAAATGATCCATACCACCCTTGCTACAATAACTGTAGTCCTTCCTGCATTTTTGACAAATAACCCTTTTCCCCTTCCCCTCAATATCCTCTACTTTGAAAATTTTCCAAACTGGGCTACTCAACTTAGAGGCCCTCCTTTTTCCCCTAGTATTAGTACCAGGGGTGAAAGTTCCACTTCCATCGACATCAATCGCATCAGTGCTAACACTATCATGATGCGATTGAATATCATCAATGGTGAACATGTTGGGGAATCGATTTTTAGAAGAACCGGTCATTTTTTTTTAATTCTAAAAAGATAAAAATTAATCTAATTCGACTTACTTAGATTGCCGGTTCAAATCCCAACTTGACTTCAACGTCCAAGCTTCCCAAATTGAGATACTTGAGCTGGTTGAGCAAGCCTTMTTCTTGTTRAAAGTYRAAACTYYAATAAAGTTGAGACTTGAGAATTGGAGAATGTAGAATCAAACAATCAGCTAATCTGAATTACTCAGATTGTAGAGAATTGAGAATGAATGAGTATGAGAGAGAGAGAGAAAGAGAGAAGAGATTAAGAGAATTGTTGAGTTGGTGTGATGAGAATGGTGGAGGATATGGCTATTTATAGGAATTGAACATAATTCAACTACCCAAAATACCCAAAAAACTAGTAGTTATTTAGTTGTTGGGAGGGGTATTTTGGTCATTGTAAAGTTATTTATAACTTTACCCAAAAAGGCCCCCTAAACTAGTTGTTATATAGCTGTTGGGAGGGCATTTATGTCATTTTTTCAACCCCCCATAAGCAAAATACACAAATACCCCCTAATATGGTTGTTTATAGCTATTGGGGGCGGGAAAGCTGAAACTAG